CCGAGGCCAGGAACCAGGGGCCCACTCGTGCCTGGTCGGTGTTGCCAGACAACTTCCTCCAGCTACCCTCGGAAACCACCTATGGGGTCTCGGAAACGAACTTGGCTCTGCCAGAGCTCGCACTGTCTTGTCATCCTCTCCTGCCTGTGGTTCCTGATGAGTCCTCAGAATCCTGGCCGGGGAACCCTCCACCCACTGTCTTTCGAAGCATTCGTTGTCAGCTGTCCCTCCAGGATCTGGATGACTTTGTGGATCAAGAGAGCCACGGCAGCGAGGAGAGCAGCAGTGGACACAAAGAGTCTCCCGGAACCCCCGAGGAGGGACTGCAGCCTGTCTTGGAAACTTCCTCTTGGGGAGAGCTCAGGGATCCTAATGAGGGCCTGTCTGTGTCTTCAAATGAAGGCAGCCCCAGTCGGATCCGGCAGAGCCTCAGGTATAGAGGGAATGCGCCCAGTTTTCGGAAGGTCCCAACGGGGGCTAAAAGCTTTGGAGACCACTCCCAGGAGGCTTCACCCTGGCCAGCCTCCAGGTTCCGGAGGTCTCTCAGGAGGAGCGCTCGAACTGGGAGAACCTACTCCTCCTCTGATGAGGAACATCTTGATGAGGACTTGTTGAAAAGGAGCCGGCGGCCACCTCGGTCCAGGAAACCTTCCAAGGCAGGAGCCCTGCCCAGCCCAAGGGTGGATATTGTTTTGGTACAGAAATTCTCAGATGCTAATGTTGTGGCACGGCAGCCACACAACTCCTGGGTCCCTAGCAGAGATACATCTGCAGCCTTGATACACCACAGACCTCCTGAGCACAAGTCATCCCTTGTCCCCTTAGATGCCAGGGAACATGAATGGATTGTGAGGCTTGCCAGTGGCTCCTGGCTTGATGTGCAGACTTTGTTCTGGGAAGACCCCCAGTTGGCTTTGCACAGAGACTTCCTGACGGGGTACACAGCCTTGCACTGGATAGCCAAGCATGGTGACCTGCATGCCCTTCAGGACTTTATCTCTGGAGCCCAGGAGGCAGGGATTGTACTAGATGTAAACGTGAGGTCTAGTTGTGGCTATACCCCACTGCACCTAGCAGCTATTCATGGCCACCAGGGAGTTATCAAATTGCTAGTGGAAAGGTTGGCTTCTCGGGTGAATGTCCGGGACTACAGTGGCAAGAAGCCGTGGCAGTATCTGACCAGTAATGTCACTGGAGAAACATGGCAGCTCCTAGGTGCACCCCGAGGCAAACCCATCTTCCCTGTATATCCCTTAGTGCAAAGCTCCTCCCCAACCAGGAAGGTCAAGAGTCGGGAAATGTCTAGAAATGTCACCCGGAAGACTTCCTTGGCTGCTTTGCTCAAAACCCAGCACAACAAATGGAAGATGGCCAGCCAATATGAGAAATTCCACACCCCAAAGGAGAGAGAAGAATATAGTGACTGAGGTGGGCTCTTTTCTCAAGAAGGCAAAGCACCCCCCCCCAGAAGCTACTAAGTAGATGAGAGAACCCAGGGAAAACAAATGGCTAGGAGTTGATACAGAAAGGACCAGTGAAATGGTGTCCTCGAGGGTCATCTCAACTTCTTGAAGGTTCATACATACGTTTGTAGACAATAGCAGAGCCAGGCACTCAAGCCTGAAACGGTCCCACTCTCCTGAGCCAGCCAGGGGTCTGGGCACCGGAAGGCACAGTGTTTTCTGAGGCAGTGCCAGACCTTACTAGAAAGGAAACAGATGCATCAGAGAAAGGCAGTTCATGGAACTGACATAGCTCACGCTCTTCTCTGGCTGGAAACTCTCTGGCTTCTATTCCTCTTGAGAATAAATCTTGGCTGAGTGGAAAGTACCAGGTTTGAAGTCAGATGGCATCCCTTCATTTTCTTTATATGCCATTTGGCATTCCAACCAGTGAAATAAAATGGTTTCTAGAGAGTGTAGAATCTGATTGAAGAGACTTCCCCAGTCTTGTGCCCAAGCCTTCCTGTGAACAGCATCTATGGTTGCTTGGTGTAAACTGATGACTTTCTTCTCTGCATATCAGAAGTAGACAGGAGAGATCAGATATGACCTTGACTTTACTCTCCAGAGAAATGACACCATCAGGCCCTGTTTGTTTGTGTTTGTTGGTGTTAGTTTTTTGTACCAATCCAAAGTGAATTTCCCAAGTATAAAAATAGCTTGATTCTTCATTTGTGTAATGACTGACACTCTTCACCCTGCAGGGAAACTCCCTGTATAGCCAACAGAATTATCTCTGATAGTTTCCAAGGTGACTGACACTCTTCACCCTGCAGGGAAACTCCCTGTATAGCCAACAGAATCATCTCTGATAGTTTCCAAAGCTGGTACACAGGAGGAGAGAGAGCCGGGCCACTCTTGGGAAGCAGGAAGGGTTAAAACCATCAGAACTGTGTCAAGCTGCTAAGTATAACTTTATTTGCACTAAACTTTTTGCCAATTGAGATTAAATATTAGCCTTGAAGTACTGAGTGTCTAACAGGCAGTGTTGCATTCAGTTCTCAGGAAGATGGAGCAGTGCAGGCCCCTAGCCGCAATCAGAGAATGAGGACTGCAAATCCCAGCAGAATGTGCAAATCACAGAGTGTAAATCCAAAGAGGGCTGGAAAGTTCAATGTTCAATCAGAGATTACTTTTTTATGAAAATATTTTCATGTGTAGTGGCAATGATGCTGTATTTTTTTTAAGTATGTTTGTGTTTCTTCTGGTTATTTTCCTGCATTAAAAGACCAGCAGATTATTATAATTTATTATATTGTACTCAGCTGATTATTGCTAATGTTTTTACACAATGGGCTCGATGATTGTCAATCTTTCTGTTTCTTTGTAGTTTAACTTTATGTTGGTGAAATCAATCTCTTTCTTTTCTCCATCTCTCTCCATTTCTTTGGGGATAGAATCTTGGACCACATGTGTATTATTTTAATGTCCCCAACTCCTATCACATTTTAAACCAAAAAGATAAAATAATCAATTCTATGAGCATTTCCATTTACATAGCCTTTTCATCCCCTACCTAAGGGGGAAACTGGAAAATCAAATCAGAAAACATGATGGGGGCTGACGGGTGGGGAAATGAAAATTTAAGTTTATAGAATAGACATCTATGTAAATAACCTAGTGAACAGCTGCTTTGGGGAGCCAGGGGGTTTATCATACTGTCACAACTGGATCAACTTACTCAACAAATATTTTATACAGTGCTGTGGGGTTTAGAAAGGTGAGCAGGACATGATCTCTCTCCGATAGAAGCTAAAAAATTTGAACTATTTGTTCCTGACTGCCTTCTACCTTGACTTGCTCCCAAGGTGTCTTCCAAAGCTGAGTTACAACAGAAAGAAGCTTGTAATAATAAGCAAGAGGGGGAAAGGAATGAGGACAAACCAATGTAATATAACACTCCAAATACCAGAAATAAAAACCAAGTGTTCTGAAAGATGAGAGAGAGAGAGAGAGAGAGAGAGAGAGAGAGAGAGAGAGAGATTGAGAATCCCTTAGGCTGAGAAAACAGGAAGGGCTTGGTTCCCGCCAGGAGTGATGATACTAGCCTTTCCAAGAAACCAGCTTTGTTGGTTCCTCCACATTCTTGTGTCTACTTCACTGTAGCTCCACACAGCCTAGTGTTGGCTGTTGCTCAGTGGTCAGAACACATCTCTGTCGGCTCTCAGGACTTATCCCTCATGTCCCTCAGGCCTTTGTTCGTATGTCTATTGTACTTGACCTGGTGATCTCTCTTACAGGGTCACAGTGCTGTGTGGGGGCGGAGTCAGGGCAGAAGAGGGCGGTGGAGGGCAAGGTGAAAGAGCCTTTTGCTCATGTTGCAAAGTCCAGGTGGGGAGGGCTTTGGCAGGAATGCTCTTCCAGCCTTCTGCTGACTTCTCCCTGCTTCGAACCCTGCACCTAGATGGCATTACACCTATAGGGTGAGGGGGAGCAAGGCCCTACCCACTCACTCTTTGTCCTAGATTCCTTCAGCATGGAGCCCCATATTTACTACCTTCTTGGTAAGGTTGCCCACATCCCTAAAAAAACAAACAAACAAACAAAAAAAAAAACAGTTCAAATATAAGCTATAAAGACTCAAGGTGGAGGCCTCCAAATGAAGGCATGGTTGCTTCACTAGAATTCCCAGAATGCTGGGCTCAGAACTCACAATTGCTGACTCATCATAGTGTTTGATATCATTTTCTGCTTTTATTGAGACAATGTCTCATGTTCAGGGTGGCTTTGAACTCCTGATCCTCTTGCCTCCCATGTGCTGGGTATTACAGGCCCAGAACAACTATCCCATGTGTTTAAGCAAAGGGTTTTGATTTTACCTGGAGACTTGGAATATTAGAAAATGCCTTGACTCATCTAACTATACCAGGCTGACTCCTGTTGCTGGTTTTCTTTCCCTATTTAAAAAGATAAGGTAGACAGGTCTTGCTGTGTTGTACATGTTAGCCCCAAGTTCCTGGGCTCAAGCCAACCTCTTGCCTCTGTCTCTTATATAACTGCAACTTCAGCCAAGTCACCATGTCTAGATACATTTACTGGGAATTTATTGAGCATCTAGTTTGCCCTAAGGATACCATTTCAGCCTTCCTGCCTTCCAGGGCTCTTTGGTTGCTAGAGATGGGAGCTATGAAAGTGGAGTCGCTGGAGACAACTCTAGCACCAGAACAGTTGTGTGCATCAAGACAGGAGAAATGAGCCAGGAAGATGGTTCAGTGGGTAAAGGCATGAGCCACCAAGCCTGAGGACCTGGGTCAACATCCAGATCTCTTCCCCTCACTTCCACATACACACCAAAACAGCATGCCTGGCCATCCCACTGCCCGCACACACAATAAAACAAATAAAAATGTAAGAGAGAGAGGTCAGGGTGGCAGGTCTAAAATGTGCAATGTCACTAATGTTGCAGCAAGTGGAGGGAAACCCAGAAGGCTGGCTACTTTCTCCCGGGGCTGCCTATTTGCATATGGCCCTTTACACTCTGTCTCTAAGGCCTCTCCGAGCTAAACAGCACCTGGTAGTAGTGTGTAACTGATGGACCATCTTTCTGCGCATTTATCACAAAAATAACATCCTGGTTCCTTGGGTATGACTGCTGAGACCTGCCATAAGCCGTGGAAAGCTTGGTCCTGGAACTATCTTTCCAATGGAGTGCACAGTCCTTCAGAAGTAAGGTATCCAACAAGGATGCTCTCTCACCATGTTTTTATTCCTATTTGCAGAATTAGGAATTCTAAGAGGGAGAGCTAGAAACTCAAGACAGCTTGCTACTCATTAAAGGTTTTGACAGATTTGAAGTTTCTGTTTCCGGTGTTCTCTATCATCGTACCCCTGGCACGCATATCCTATAGCGTGGATAATGGGACACCAAATTGGCTGTGTCTCTGTTCTTTTGCCAGAAGATTTATTGTGTTTACTTACTCTCGGATTTTTAGGAAGGAAGGCATGAGGCAGCTGGCTCCATAACCACACAAGTTCCTCCCCCTGGAACAGCCTAGAATCCTTTGAGGAGGGAAAAGGAGTGATTATCTAGGCACAGGACAAAGACATCTGCAGCCTAAGTTGCTTCGGGTGCCACCTGACCAAAACTAGAATCCTTTGAGGAGGGAAAAGGAGTGATTATCTAGGCACAGGACAAAGACATCTGCAGCCTAAGTTGCTTCGGGTGCCACCTGACCCCCCCCCTATCCTCCCGCCTGTGTGTCACCTTACACCTCCAGGGGCTCTTGGGTCCAGGTGTTTGCTCCTTTCTATAAGCTTCCTCAGGACCACCTGGAAGATCAGAGGCAGGTGGAGCGGCATCACCTGAGACTCTCAGCATCCTGGATACAGGTCTGGTGCCCTCTCTGTTACTAAGTACACCGAAAGACTTGTGTGACATTTCTGGGATTCAAAACTTCAAATTTCTTTATGTTTCTGGATTAAGAAGATAAAACCCGATTCTCTTCAAAATTTAAATCTACAACATGATGGAAAATGGCCGTGAAGTCATAGACAACCAGTATTCCTGAAAGAAGATGGAAAATGTATATAATGGAGGAAGGTGTTACACAGGGCTATTCTCTCAGGCAAAGTGCCGCTATGGTCATAAATTCAGCTGCCCCCACTTGCAAAGGGTCATCAAGCTGGGCTTACTGACTGTAGATCTTCCCTGATACAAAGGAGGCTGGGAGGGTCATGGGCCCCCACCTTGAGTATCTAACCACTCCTCCTAACCAGTTGTATGAAGTTCTGCCTTAATTGCACAGGGCCTCAGGGAAGAGCTAGAAGTATATAAATTGGGACGGATTAGAGATAGGGGTGCATCTATGCAGTCATCTGTGCTGGATGTGGGCCTTCCTGTGTGGCTGCTTTAAGGCCACCCAATGCTCCTGGCTGTCACCCACAGCTCTATAAGTAAGCCCAGTATACTCTGGTTCTCAGTGGCTCTCCAGAGTAAACCTAGAATGTATCTGGTTTTGTTGTGGGGGACCTTAGGAGTAGGGTAGCCATTGTTTAAGTTTCCCAGGGAAAGAATTTGAGCAATGGAAGGCATTATATAGCAAATATTCTGTTACCTGCTAGGTTTGGAATTTTTTTGTTGTTGTGTGGTCATGTTTTTTGATTTTTGTTTTTTCAAAGCAGGGTCTTGCTGGGTGGCCCAAGCTAGCCTCTAACTCACTAGGTAGCCCAGGTTGTTCTCAAACTTGGGACTGTCCAGCCTCATTCCAGTGGAATTGGATCATTTTGATTAATAAATTATTCTAGTTAACAGGGATTTCTTATGTATTATTTACATGGTGATGTTTTTAAAACAACAACCTACATTTTAATATGTGTGGCTTGGTGGGTAAAGTACCTACTGTGCAACCTTGAGGACCTGGGTTTAATCCCCAGAACATGCATAATTAAGCTGAATGAGATAAGCACGTGTTCATAAACCCAAAGGGAAGGTGGATCCCTGGGGTTCTCTGGCCAGCAAGTCTAGTAGAATAGGCGATTGTGAGAGAGAGAGACTCTGTCTCAAAAACACAGGGTGGTTAGTGACTTAGGGAAAAAAAAATCAAAATTTGTCCTCTGGCCTACACATACACTCACAGGTGTACCTAAATTCACCCATGTACCTCCACCCACAAGTACACATACACAATATATACTAAGTATTTAAATGAAGCAGACAATAATTAATTGGCTTATTTTAAAACAGAGTATAGGATTTTGAGGCACTTACGTCTTTATTCACTTTCTGAGGGGAAAAAAATCTTTAAAAT